TGGCTTGGTGGGTGTGGCGTGGCTTGGTGGGTGTGGCGTGGCTTGGTGGGCGTGGGAGGGGAAAGGATACTGCAAAATCTCCATTCCCTCCCCACTCCAGGGGAAGGATGCTGCAAAATTCCCATTCCTTCTCCTCTCCAGGGGAAGGATACTGCAAAATCCCCATTCCCTCCCCACTCCAGGGGAAGGATACTGCAAAATCCTCATTCCATCCCCACTCCAGGGGAAGGATCCTGCAAAATCTCCATTCCTTCCCCACTTCAGGGGAAGAATAGTGTAAAATCTCCATTCCCTCTCCACTCCAGGGGAAGAATACTGCAAAATTCCAATTCCCTCCTGATCAGCTGGGACTCGGGAGGCAGAGAATAGATCAGGTGGGGCCCATCAGAGGTGGTATTTTCTTCGTAGGCTATAAGCTTAAATTTAAGGAAAGATACAAGATGTGATCAAAACTAGCAGCAAACAGTGCCTTCAAAATGGACTTTTAGCAGTTGCTGGAGTCGAATGTCAAGAGCCTAAGAAAAGAGGGTGCAGAAAGGATCAGGCACAGAAGAAGAGAGGGGTCTGATTTTTCTTCTCCAGGGAACAAAGTGTGCTTGAGTTACTGAGAGATTATGTCAGTCCAAAAACTCTGTCCCTGGCATTGAACCTGTCATTCTTGGTTCATACCCAAGAAATCTGCCTGATGTAGTCATAGTTAAAAGATGCACATTTATGAAACAAAGCAATTTGTCCATTTGACCCAGGCGTGGCTGTCATGGTGGCATCTCTCCAGGGTTTCAGGAGCCAAGATTTCCCTTCTAGGAGAGGACAGGCTTTCCACAGACATTTTCCTTACCCCAAATTCTAGGTATAACTCCACACCAATGGTACTTAGTGCTGTAGATTCCTTGGTGCTCTCTTGGTTACTCCCTTGCTGAGGCTTCATTACCCAACTAGGTAACGTCATCAGTTACCTTGGTAACTTGAGCACTGATGATATTACCTAGTTGGGTAATGACACATCCACAAGAAAACAACAAAGATTAGGGAGCATCAAGGACTCCACAGTTCAAGCTACAAATATTCTCTTCTATTGGTACTTAATGCTCTGTTTGGAAACTGACTTGAAATATGCCCCTTCATTTTTGAAACATCTGGCCTGATGTGTGAGCTTCTTGATTCCTCCCCATCTCTGGCTTTTGGTTATCATTGTGCATGGCCAAGAATTCTGGAGAACTCAGAAACATGCAGGCTCTTTTAGAATATAGAATAACAGAGTTGGAAGGGACCTTGAAGGTCTTCTAGTCCAACCCTCTGCTTAGGTAGGAAACTTCAGACAAATGGTTATCCAAAATTTTCTTAAAAACNCCCCGGAGTTTTATTTCGTTGGGGGTGTTACTTGGGACCCTGATAGCATGGCCTTCAACTCCCAGCAAGCTGGCTGGAGAATTCTGGGAGTTGAAGTCTACACATCTTCAAGTTGCCAAGGTTGAGAAACACAGATCTATTGGAAAAGATTTATTGCATAAGCTCATGTAAAATAGATGGGAAAAATTCATGCCCTCAACTGAACTGTTGCTGTTAGATTCAGCAGCTAATGAGAAGGATATTTGTCCTTCATTCACAGTTCGGTTTAGAACCAGAACTTTTCCTCTTAGGATGAATAGACCCCCCCCCCCCAAAAAAAAGGAAGATTATTTCAATATAGGCTTACTGGAAAGCAATTCCAGTGATGGAAAGGTTGACACTACCCACTATGGAGGAATGGTCAGTGAAACTGACTAATTTTGCTGAAATTGAAAGTTAGATTAGAGAAATAATAGATTATAGAAACAAGATTAGTATATAACTTTAGAGAGGTTAAAATATTTGTACTTATAATTGCTATGAAGACTATCATAAGCCACTTCTTTATATCTTTTTTCTTTTTGCACTCTGCTTTTCTTTGCTCTCTTTCTCTGTCTTCTTTCTTTATTTTATATTAGTTTGTAAAAAGAATCTTTTTAAACATTTAATTATGCAAGACACACAGGTCAGGTTAGTGTTTTTTACCATGCTGTGAAAATAAGCACAATTGAGATCGCACTGACACCACACACAATACATGAAGTTATCTGGAGTTCTGATAGGCTGTTTGGCTTTCTTTCTAGAATTTCATTGGAGCAGGTCTGCAAAGAGAAGCTGGCTGTTTTGTACCCAAGTAAAACAAACGGGGGATTTTCTTGCTTCATATTTATATATGTGTTTGTAAAATTTATTAGCCAACCATCTTGGCTTACAGTAACCCTGGGCAGCGTACTATATTTTCTTTCTAAAACCTTTCTCTGCAATCAGAATCTTTTGAGGCAACTTCCTTGTGTGTCGAATCACACTTGGCCAGTAAGTAGCTGTTCTGTTCTGTTCTGTTCTGTTCTATTCCTGGCAAAGCAGTTAATAGGAATATTATATTTTGATAAAATTAATAAAATTTGATATAAAAAAACAGGAATAATATAATAGTAATAACAAAAAACAACCACCATAGGCATTGACAAATTTGCCATCAGTCAATTGCAGAAGGCAGCTTTACTTTGAACTGCTTCCATCCTGCGACAATATCTGTAACACCACCCAACATCCAGATTTGCCTATCCCAGGTCCTTGATAAGGACTCGATAGGAAGACAAAAATGCCAAACCCAGACTGAACNTTTCTAGAATCTCAACATCTTTTTTACATTGTGGCAACCAAAACTGGATGCAGTATTCTAAGTGTGGCCTTACCAAGGCATTCTTTCTCTTTCATTAGTTCTAATGAAAGTCTCACCCTATGGATTTCGGGGGTGGAAGCTTCCCCTCTTGAGGATCACGATTCCTATGATTACATTATTATGCTGTAATTTAATCAAGAAATTATTCCTAATACCGGAAGCCAGACTAAGCTTCTTTTTCAGATATACTGGCGATGTTGCCGTACTCGTTCCAATTTCCTGGAATTGCCCTCCAAATTAGTTGACGGGACCTCTTGTTATTCCCTCCAGTGGGGCACTAAAGACTCGACCCATTTGGAGGACATTAGACTGTGCAAGATGGCTGTCTATTCCTTCCCCCTCAACTCAGAGGAAGGGCCACTGGGCACCATGGAAGAAAGCTTTGTTTGCTTGCTCCTGGATGCTGCTTCTTCCGCTGTGCCCACTCTGTTCTTCCTGTCTGTCTTATTTTCTGCCACTTCTATGCCCTCCCTCCCCATCTCTCTGCTTTTGGGTGTGAGAAAAACTGGGTCAGGGAAGTAACCATGGCAATGCTTAAGCAAAGACAGTCTCCCTTATCATCCACTCCCCCCCCCCACCCGCTCGCCTGCCTGCTTTCTCTCCCTGCTCTCGCCATCCAGAAGAAACCTTGATTGTTACAGATGGAACTAGAGTCATCAGGCTGAAGATCTGAGTCCCAGTCCTGCGTGTAGGAGCAAAGCACTGCCTGACTGCTTCAGCCTGGGAGGTGTGTCGGTGGTGGAGGCCTGGTGGATGAGTCCATTCCATGCCTCCTTGGCTGCTGCGTGTCTTGGTAAGGAGAAACTTCCTTCTCTCGTAGCAGTGGTTGATCTTCTCCAGGGTTGGGTGAATGATGGAGGGCGGGGGGGGGGAGGAGGCAAAGGACCCATACTCTGGGTCTTCATCCTTGCCAGAAACCTTCCTGGACTGACAGGACATGGGGAAAATAACAGGTTTATCACGCAAGGATCAATTAAGTTGTTTCTTGTTGCTAAAGCCTTGCATTCCTGCCAGAGCATTACGTTCTTGTTGCTAGAGCATTGTTGTTTGTGTGCTGCATGTTGCTATCACGATGAGGAGGGAGGAGAATTTCTCTGCACCCCCCTTTCTATCTCTCTACTTTTTAGAAGAATATCCAAGTGACTCCCACCGATGTAAAGACAGGTTTAATATCATCATATTTCCAAAAGAATATCTGGCATTACCATCTTCAACCTTGTTTAAGCATCCAGGAATGTCTCCCCCAGAGGGACGCGGTGACTCAGTGGCTGACACTGAGCTTGTCGATCAGAAAAGTCAGCATTTTGGCAGTTCGAATCCCTAGTGCCACGTAACAGAGTGAGCTCCCATTACTTGTCCCAGCTTCTGCAGTTTGAAAGCATGTAAAAATGCAAGTAAAAAATAGGGACCACCTTTGGTGGGAAAGGAATAGCATTCCGTGCACCTTCGGCATTTAGTCATGCTGGCCACATGACTATGGTGAGTGCTGGCTTTTCAGCTTTGAAACGGAGATGAGCACCGCCTCCTAGAGTCGGGAACTACTAGCACATATATGCGAGGAGAACCTTTACCTTTACCTTACCTTTAGTCCCAGGAAGGTTACTCAATGGGGGATAATCTCAGGCATTTATATAGGATGAAATTAATCATTGGAAATGTAGGCAAATCAAACAACGTATTACCATATGTGGTGGTTATGCCCAAGGCTAAACAATATTGGAATAGAATAAGCAAATGACTCGAAGAAATTACTAAACAGCAAATAGATATGGAACCAGAATTATTTCTATTGGAAATACCTACTTGATAGGATGAAATTAGTCGTTTAGCCATTTGTGAACCCAGCTGTGAATCCATTGCCTCCTCCACTCCTGAAATAAGATCTTAGCTGCTGGCAAGATGATGTCCTCCAGATGTGTTGGATGGCTACTCCTACCATGTTACAGCTTCGGCCATCCTGCCAGGGGTTGATGGGGATTGTCCTCAAGCACATCTAATGAGGAACAAATCGGAAAAGGCTTAGTGTTGCACCACAGAAATGGTCAGATGGTACTACCTGGAGGAAGAAACAGACACAGAACTGAGACCGTGCTGAATTTACCAACTCTCACCTTCTACCTGGAGCAATCTCAATCTTGTGGACTTTGATGTATGTGGACTTCAACTCCCAGAATTCCCTAGTCATTGAATACTGGGAATTGAAGTCTGTACATCTTCAAGTGGCCGAGGTTGAGAAACACAGCACAGATGGATGGATTCCTACTTTGATACACCTCTACTGCAATCTAGCTGATGCATATTCCCAATTTTGACTGCATTCATAATTTAATATTATTAATAATCTAGCTTGTAATTAAATTTCACCATTAAAGAATAATTTTATTCATAATTAAGCAGGCAGGGAAATCTAGGACTTAGAGTCCACATAACTTCAACTGCCAAAGTTGAGAAATACTTCTCCAAAGACACCCATCCAATGTTACTTTGTTGAACACGGCTTGTACACTGCAAAAATTCATGCACATTGGCGTGAGCAATATCTTTAAGCATTTGAAGCTTACCTTAAGTTCACATCTAAAGTTGGGTGACATGTCAAGCTCATTTCCCCTTAAAAACATGCAGGGAAAAATCTAGTTTTCTCCAGGAATATTGTTCACACAACCCTGTGATTCTCTTGAAAACGGTATAGGGCCCAGAGGTGGGTTGCTTCTGGTTCGGCCCTGTGAAGGGTGGGCAAAGCAAACCAGTAGTAAAACCGGGAGAAACCCACCTCTGATAGGGCTGTGATGGTGAATCTATGGCACGCATGCCACAGGTGGCACACGGAGTCATCTCTGCAGGCATGCAAACTGATGTCCTATGTTAGCTCCAGTGCGCATGCTTGTGCCAAACAGCTGGTTTTCAACCTCTCCGGAGGGACGGGGGAGACCATTTTTGTCTTCTCCAGGCTCCAGGAAAGCCTCTGGAGCCTGAGGAGGGCAAAAAATGGGCCTCCAGCTTCTGGTAGGTCCCTTTTTCACCCTCTCCAGGCTCCAGAGGCTTTTCTGGATCCTGGGGAGGGTGAAAACAGCCTCCACTGGTCCCCCAGAGGTAATACCAAGCTCAGCTTGGTGGTGAGCAGTGCACCAGCAGTGTGTCGCGCGTGGGGGAGAAGTGTGTGTGTGGTGTTGTGCACGCTTTGCATTATGGGTGCTGGCACATGCGCACATTATCTCCTGCGCATGCTGACATTTTTGACACCCAACAACAAAAAGGTTAGCAATCAGTGGTATAGGGCAATGGTGTTTAATCTTGGAAACTTTAAGACTTCGGTGTCCACAATTTCCTAGCCAGCTTGGGAAATTCTTGGCTGGCTGGGCAATACTGGGAATTGAAATCCACAAGTCTTAAAGTTGCCAAGTTTGGACACCCCTGATACAGAGGGAGAATATCTCTATTGCTGCTTCCTGGATATATTCTTTAACTTCCCAGTATTGCCTACAACCCAGGGATTTTCTGATAGCCCCTTGTTGAAATGCTAACTAGATCTGATCTGACCATATGTAAGTTTTCAAGTTGAACCAAGATTGGTGCTAACTCCTCGAAATGATTCATGGCTTAAATTCGCTTTGTGTATAAAAGCTGCTAAAAGGTTTGCACTTTTACAATCCGCTCAAGAGCTTTTTCTCCCTAAAGGACTTCAGACACTATAGCTCTGAGATGGGATAAAGGACTTGCTAACAGAGAATCCTCCATGCTTTTTCTAAGCTAAAATATCTACCTCTGTCTTTGCAACTACAGCAGGCAAAAGCCCTGCAAAACCAATGGATGCATATGTGATGGAACAACAATTAAGGCAGTGCTGGCTGGGGAGTTCTGGGAGTTGAAGTCCAGACGGTCACCAAGGTTGAGCCTGCTGATGTAAGGGGCAACTATAGATGGGGGGGTGCAGGTCATGTTAAGTGGTTGAGCTTGGATATAGGAAATTTGAGCTCAAATTCTCACTTGACAATAGACTTCCTTGGGTGATCTTGAGCCAGTCATTCATTCACTCTGTCCCACTTACCGTATTTTTGGAGTATAAGATGCATCTTTTTCCTTAAAAAAAAGGGTGAAAATCTGGGTGCGTCTTATACACTGAATACATCATTTTTGGCCTCCCAAAACCCCACCCCCTTTGCAAAAATGGCCATTCATAGCCTTTAGGAGGCTTTCAGAGTGCTCCTGGGGAAGGCGTTTTTGCCCCACCACCCAGTAGCACTCTACAAGCCTCCTAAAGGCTATGCATGGCCATTTTTGCAAAGGGGGTGGGGTTTCAGGAGGCCAAACATCCCATTTTTGTGAAAAAGGCCCATTTTTGGGAGGTCTGCAGAGTGCAAAACTTTTTTATTTTATTTTGCCTCTTCAAAATCTTGGTGCATCTTATACTCCGGTGCGTCTTATACTCTGAAAAATATGGTACATTATAGGCTTTTGCTGTAGGGAAACCTGGTTACAAACGGAGGAAGTCATCCATGGATTGCTGCCACATCCTGAAAAGATATTTGGACTTTGTTGTTCCATCACTAAATCGTGTCTGACTCTTCATGAACCGATAGATATAGCCCAGACAGGCCCCCCTATCCTCCACTGTCTCCTGGACTCTGCCCAAATTCATGCTCATTGCGTCAATGATGCTATCTAATCATCTCAGCCTCTGCCGTCCCCTTCTCTTCAGTATGCTTGGAGCAAAGTTCTTCCATTTGTTTATTTATTTATAGAAATTTCATATTGCCGTCTACTTGCACACAGTGACTCAAGGTGGCTAAACAAAGATATAAAAACAGCATGTAAAAGAAATGAGAAATAATAAAAAGAAAAATAATGAAATAATAACCCTCCACCACCACCACCTACCCTGGTGACAAGACACATTCATACTAACCATTGAATCGGCTTCATCCTGCTCTGGGTTCCCCAGGCCAATTGACAGAACCACATCTTCAAGGGCCTTCCGAAAGAGGGGGGGAGCCATTCTAATCTCTGGGGAAATGATGTTCCAGAAACAGGGAGCCACCACGGAGAAGGCCTTTCTTCTGGGTCCCGCTAGATGTATCTCACAGGACCTGCAATGTTCCTTTCCTCCCTGCTCTAGTGGGTTGTTGTTTTGGTTTAACTTGTACTCAGTGGTGAAATTCATTTTTTTTTACTACCGGTTCTGTGGGCATGGCTTGGTGGGCGTGGTGTGGCTTGGTGGGCATGGCAGGGGAAGGATACTGTACAACCCCCATTCCCTCCCCTCTCCAGGGGAAGGTTACTGCAAAATCTCCATTCCCTCCTGATCAGCTGGGGCTTGGGAGGCAGAGAATAGTTGGGGGTAGGGCCAGCGAAAGGTGGTATTTATCAGCTCTCCGAACTACTCAAAATTTCCTCTACTGGTTCTCCAGAACCTGTCAGAATCTGCTGGATTTCACCCCTGCTTGTACTTAATCCTTCTATCTTATACACCTTTGTTGATATTTTAGCATGGGAAACTAATTTAGACATGGTAGATTAATCAAAAACCAATAATATTCTCACCAGCTGTGGTTTCTTCATTTTTTTAAACATGCCCTTGTATCAGTGTTGCCTTCTGGCATGGATGAGTCTCTGCAGTTTTCTTAGCAAGTGTTTTTTGGGAGGGTGGGGAGTCGTTTGCCCTTGCCTCCTTTGTAAGGTTGCAAGAAAACGATTGGCCCAAGATCATCTAGTTGGCTTTGGTCTTAAGGTAGGAGTAGAATTCAGGGTCTCTTGCTCTCTAGCCTGATGCCTTAATCACTACGCCAAACTAGTGAT